AAAACAAAGAAATTCAGTTTACAGTTTGTTTTTTTCTGGACAAAATTTAAACAATAATTTCTCCTGAAATCCGTGTTTTTAATGTTTTTGATCAAAGTTGTGAATGTAAATGAATAATTATAATAAACATTTATTGTTCTGCTCCCTCACAGTTTGTACAGAACGAGTGAAACCAGCTGGAAAATGATTAGAGGAACATTTTCAGTTTTCTAAAATCCCTCATGAGTTTGAGTTAAACCACAGAAAGAATCAGTTAAATCAGTAGAAACTGTAAAAATGATCAATATGAAATAAAAACCGTGAACGCTGCATTTTATCAGCTGCTAGTGAAAAAGTCTGGACAGTATTGTTTTTAATGATTGTAGCGGTTTATATTTAATCCCACAAACTTAAATTTACACAAACCTTCATGATTTATAAGAGAAGTTAAAAAGCTGATGTTTACAGAGTCTCTATAACAAAACAACAAGTAAACAACAACACAAACAAGTAAACAACAACACAAGTGACACCACGTGGTGTGTGCCGTCCTCCGCTGACTCTTGCTGCTCCACTCATTCGTTCTGGACTTTTGAAGGTTCTGGTTCTTTGACCTGTCCGGTTTTATCTAGTTAGTTTTTCATGTTGTTGACGTTTATTTGCTTCTTTTATAAAAACAAGTAAAATTATTTCATACATTAAAGTTCTGAAGTAAAATGAATTTCCGTCGTGTAAAAATGAGGCGGGAGAAGAACGTGCGTTTTGATCAGAGCCTGACTGGTGTGGAAGGTTTATCACTGGTGCGATATTGGGAGGGACGGCTGATAATCGATCGATGTATCAGCTGGAAGTCTTTTATCTTTGTCCACCTCCAAGAATCTCAGTGAACTTCTCCCTTTAAACCAGTTTCAACTCTGGAAGTCTTTAAACGGTGCGCTCACATTTTCTGTCCTCCACCTTAAAGTCAAGTGTGGAACTAAAACATCAGTTAAACAAAGAAACTCCTTCCTGTTCGGTCACCTGACCCTGGACCTGAAGACAACGGTCCACCCGTTCCTGACTGAGGACATGTCCTCAGATGTGGAGGTGCTGGTTCTCATCCCAGCCGCTCCAGTGAGAGCTGAAGGTCACGATGACGCCAACAGGACCACATCATCTGCAAAGAGCAGAGATGGGTCCTGAGGCCACCGAACCGGACTCCCTCCCCTCGCTGGCTGCACCGACACATTCTGACCATAAAAGTTCTGAACAGCCTGTGACAACTGGCCCCCAGTACTCACAGTCCAACACCTTCTCCAAGTCCACAAAACACATGTAGACCGGATGGACAAACTCCCATGACCCCTCGAGGACCCTAGTGAGGGTAAAGAGCTGGTCCAGTGTTCCACAGAACCCACATTGTTCCTCCTGGATCTGAGGTTCGACCAACGATTGGACTCTTGTCCAGTAGCCCTGAACAGACCTTACTGGGAGGCTGAGGAGACTCCAGTCCCCCTTTTCTGAGGGGACTGTAGAAAATTTAAAAATATTTTTCCTGTTTTTGTTTTTAAAATGAAAAGTTTTCTTGTTATTTTTCATAAGTCCCTGAGCAGGAATGTTGTTGAGAACATATTCACATGTTCAAACATCAATATTAGTAATAATAAATGATTGCAAATGTAACAGATTATAAATCCTGTTTTTAATCTGTTTTCTTTGGCTCTGTTCTAATCTGATTTAGCCCGAGACCAAATGATTTTTACTCCTTGACTAAAAACTTAAGTCTTGGGACGGTTTTGAACTTTTTAAGTTGTGTGTCCGTACGTGATGACGTCACTCGTTTCAAACTGAAACAAATGGATTGTCAAGATCTGGTCCCCTTCAGAGACTTGTCCCGTCTCTAGTCAGGAGCGGAACATCAGAAATGGATTGTAACTGATGATCTGCTCATGTTCTTGTCCACTCAACCCTCTCTGCTGTTTCCTCTGTTTATGATGGACAGTTTGCCTTGAAGACTTCTGGTACCATGGAGGACGATGCCGAGACTGAGACGCTGAAGAAGGTGGACGACTCGAAGCAAACCTTATCTCCTAAAAAAGAATCTCCTAAAACTGCCACCAATCAACCACGCCGCTGCCCTTTAGGGAGGCGGAGCCTAAGAGAGAAGAAGAGGGTGCCTATTGAAAAGAGGCGTGGTTTCGGAGAGAAGTGGCACGGTCAGAAACGGAGGAGGGCGGGGCAGGAGGAGAAGACGGAGGGTGTGACGGTGAAGAGGACACGGAGCGGGGGGAAGCGCCGCTGGGACAAGAAACATTTCTGCGTGTTCTGCCACCGGCCGCAGGTGAAGATTGCTCGCCACCTGCTGAGGAAACACGCCGATGAACAGGAAGTACTGGCTGCCAGTTCACTACCCAAAGGTTCTAAACAGCGCCACCTGCTGCTGGAACACCTGCGCTGCCGGGGCAACTACCTGCACAACATTGAGGTCTGTTTGTTTCACAAAGCTCTGCATTGGTTTGAGTCACCTGCAGAAGTTTCTTACTGGTGTCCTGTGTATGTTCCAGGTGATCCAGCAGGGCAGCGGGGAGATTGTCCCGTGGCGTCAGCCCTCAGAAGAAATCGATGCCAGAAACTACCTTCCCTGTCCACTATGTCTTGGGTTCTTTCTTCGGGCCGATCTTTGGAAACATCAGGTCTCCTGTCGTAAGAAGCTTGCCATTGACCCCTCACAAGGTCCCGCCTCTAAGGCAGAGTTCCCCTTTAAAAGCCCCACTTTACTGACGGACATCCCTTCCACAGGCCATTCCTCCATGGCAGAGGCCCTCAGGCCCTCTGACCCGGAGACATCAGGCTCCATGGGTAAATCCTCCAACGATCTAGCAGAAAATAATCCTGAAGATCCTTTTAGACAAACATCAAACCAGAGCTCTGAACCTGGAACCAATCAGACCCTGACCTCTGCCCCTGGTATGGATCAGAATCAGAACATTGACTTAGTATTGAACCAGCCCAAGAAGAGGACCCGGGTCCAGGCTGCAGCATCTCGCCTGCTGCCCATCTCCAGTGGAGCGTCAGAAAGCTGTAGCAAAATCCTGCACCGAATGAACCAGGACAATGTTTCCTATGAGGTTTGTGCACCAGCTGGTCTTTCTTGGTGCCTGTCGGCCCCCGGGTTCATGCACTTGTGTACAGCTCTCGTTACTTGTTCGTCCCCCTTGTTTGTAGACCTGCATGCCTTTTCCTTTACCTGTCGGTCCCTAGACCTGTGTCTTCCTCATTAAAGCAGCCACTAGGGGGCACAAGCCAGTCCCAGTTCCAGTCCCAGTCCTGAGTAAATGGTGAGGGTTGTTTTGCAGAACAAACGTGCCAGTTCATCCAAACAACACAACACTGGATCGGTCGAGGCCCAGGTGAGCAACCACTGGATCTGTTGATGAACAGGGTGCTAGCAGAAGTTGTTCAAAGACCACAAGGAGGGAAACGTGTCAGGAGGGTGGAGTGTAGGACTGAGGGAGCTCCTCTGAACGTGGGGACAATAACAGGTTCATGTCAGGGGCAGAACTGATGGAGAACTGTTGATAAATGTACATGATATTTTGGTACGATGGTCCTTCCATAGTGGGAGACTAGTCACAGTTATCGGCTCATGAAGGTACATTTTTGACACTGGTGTGTAAATGGTTTAGGTCAATACAGTGATGTTTTAAAGTTTGTGTATTATTTATAATTTTCTATATTTCTGCATCAATTTGACAAAAACATCTTCAGATTCACACAAGTCCTCAAAGTAGTTCAAGAGAACCAGTTAAACAAATGAGACTAAATATTAAACTGGTTCATTTATTTACTGAGGACAATGATCCAGTATCACACATTAGTGGTAAAAGTACGTGAACCTCTGGGATTATCATTAATCTGAAGGTGAAATTAGAGTCAGGTGTTTTCAATCAATGATGATGATCAGGTGTGAGTGATCACCCTGTTTGATCTAAAGATCAGGATCTATCAACGTCTGATCTTCACAACTTTCTTCAGCTGTGGCTGAGTGGTTAGAGCAGTCGTCCTCCAATGGGAGAGTTGGGGGTTCGAATCCACCAGCACCGGGACACTTCCTGGTGGCCTGGCCCGCTCAGTGTTCACTGAGGGGGACTAAAGACTCAGTTCTGGACGTGCTTGATTATTTTAAATGAACAGTCCTGAAGCTCGTGTGGCTCACTCCATTTATCAGCTGATCATGTGTCGTGTACAATCTTACGTTGAAAACCTGCGAAAGAGTGAGTCTGTGAAAGTCGAACCGCAAAGTATCGATGGACTTCTGTATCTACCAGTAACATACTGGTACACAAAACAGTTTTTTTTTTCTGAGCAATGCCTTTAACACATCTGGAAAGATGAAAGAAAGAAGAGGTAAGGAGCACTTTGAGGAGTTCCTTAATCTGTCCACCAAGTCCATCAAGAGGCGGAGTCTTAAGAAGTCTGGGGAAAACCAGTCCATTACCATTGCAGAGGTTACCAAGGTAGTCTAAAAGCTCCTCGGTGGCAGGACACCTGGAGTGGATGAGATGTTCCCTGTGATGCTAAAGGCTCCTGATGTGGTGCTGTTATGGTTGACTCCTCTCTTCAGTGTCATGGAGGTCTGGGACAACAGTCATGGTGTGGCAGACCAGTGGTGGTTCCCATTTCTAGAAAGTGTTTTCCAACTATTCTAGGTTCACATTTCTCGCCCTCATGGAGAACGTTTACTTCAGGGTGTTGGACGAGAGGCTCCAGCTGCAAACTTTGAATTCAGGAGGAGAACTGTGGCTTCCATCCTTGTCATTGAGCAGTGGACCAGATCTTCACCCTTGCAGATTTCTTAAGGGGATGTTGGGAGTTTGTCTCTCCAGTCTACGTGTTTTGAGAAGACGATGAAATCTGATTGGTTGGTTTCTGTCTTAAACTCCTCCCACTTTGTTCTTGTCTTTATACCACCAGGTGAAATCTGATTGGCTGATCTGTAAATACGGGAACCAGCTGATTGGAAACCAGGATGGTGGTCATCGGAAGTACGACTACTTCAGCCAGAAGCTCCGAGAACTTGGTCGATTGTTGTTGGCAGCCAAGTCGCTGAACTCTGGGATCCAGACCCTGCAAGATCTTCTGACTCCGGGTCACCTCAGCCTGGTCCTGTCTGCTGCCCAGAAGGCTGCAGGATACCGATGGAGCCGACCTCCGCTGTCTGTGAAGTCCACACTGAAGACCGTCTGTGAAATAGCCATCGAAGAGAGTCTGCAGGACGGAGACTGGGAGGCTGCCGCCAAGACCACCAAGTTCTACGACATCCTGGGGAGGGAGTGGGACAGTCTAGGCCTGCAGAACTCTGATCCAGACCTTGGTAAACCTCGAGACCTGACCAGTTCCTGTCAGGAGGTTCAGATGTTCTTTAAACCAAAGCTTTTCTTGTTGCAGCTGCTCCAGATGAAGGAACCAAACCACAGAAGAAGGTGGTCCAGTCCACAAGTGAACCAAGAGAACCGAGGTCCGATGGTGAGTTCTGACCCTTAGGTCATAGACCAGAACCAGGCCCACCAACTGGGCCCCACAGGGTCCGCTCAGAAAAGTTCTTGTTCCTGAGGCCGTTTTGCTGGAGACCCCAGCTCCAGATGGTTCTGGTAACGTTCTGGTTCTGTTTGTGGTTCTGTTTGTAGTTGTGCCTCAGAACAGTAACACACCGGGGATCTTCCCAATCTCTCCAGAATCCAGACTGCAGACTCCAGTCCCAGGTGGGTCATCATGGACCCATAAGTCCATCAGGACTCTGGTTCTGTTTGTGGTTCTAGAAGTTCTGGATCATGGCTTGTTGTCTCTCTGCCGGTCTCTCAGGTCCTGCTCCTCCCAGGAAGGTCCCCCGTCGGCCCTGGTCCTCCTCAGAGAAGGAAGCCATCTGGAGGCAGCTTGGAGACCACGTCCTGGTCCAGTCCGTACCGGGGAAGGAGGTCTGTCAGCGATGTCTGGATCTGGAACCGGTCCTCCGAGGGCGGCACTGGAAAGATATCAAGAACCAGGTCCACAACCAGATCCAGAGTCAGAAGAAGCAGCAGTTCCACGCACAGATGGAGCTGGAGGAGAACCAGAAACACCAGAACCAGAACCAGAAACAGCTTCTGCCACACGAATCCCAAATGGACCACCAGAGCAAAGAACCCCCCCAGAACCAGAAGAAACAGTCATACCAGGTCCAGATGGACCTGAATCATCAGGACAGCTCTCAGAACCCAAAGAGACCTCAGTATCAGGTCCAGGTGGACCACCAGATCCAGGACAGCATTCAGAACCAGAACAAAGAGCACGACCATCAGGCACGTCTTCTCATCCACAAGAAGCAGCTGTACCAGACTAGACTGGATCACCAGGACCACA